ATGTTTCTCTATCTTGTTCAATATTCAGATTTGTTGGAGTCAAATCTTTATACTGCCATAAATTTCTATGGGGTGGACCTGAATTCATTGCTTAAGATTTGATTCAGGTAAAGATTACTATGATTCAATCATGAAGCCCGCAAGTTTGCTTTTGTCCATTGCTTGGAATTGAATTGGAAAAGAGAAGACATAGGACAAGCTCCTAGCAAGAGGAATTAGTATCCAATTAGGATTTTGTATAGTTTCATACATGACAATTTAGCATCATGGGACAAAATAATGTCTCTCCATAGCCATGACAGATTTTGTATTTGCAAGAATGATCCAACAAAGCTCCTTCAGGATCTGGTTCTCAACATGCTGGAGTAATGGCCTGTGTTGCAAGTATTTTAGCAGAAGAAGCACAGCCACCAGGAATCTCTGAGTTACTACTGGTATGGGCAGGGAGGTACCAACTTTGGATTGGATAAGGGCATTCATTACTTGTCCACACTTTTAGCCTGTCAAGGATTTCTTTCTTCTCCCTCTTCTTTCCAGCCTCAGCCCCCATTCCCTGGAAGCTGGAGTGCCCCGCTACATATCTTATGCCTATGATGAAAAGAAAGCAACTGATGAACTTCCACACTTGCCTGTGGAGGAGACAAACATCATCCTATCCTCAAGTATAGGGTGGAGATGCTAGTCTTAATAGCCTTTGGGCTTTATTTTTTGGTAGTTTTGCTGCAATTATCATTTACTGGTGATTAAGATATGGAGTAACTTGATGCTACATACTTTGTATCTTCTTCCATGCATGCTTTTTTGACTGTAGCATAAACAGAAGTGCATGAGGACTCTGTCTACACAAATAATAAACATGATATTTTCTTTCTGCATGCATTTTGTTTTTTGATCAGCAGCAACTGCATCATTCAGAACTGACACATTCAAGTCATCAGGTAATGCTACCACATCAATCATCCATATTTTGACTGAGACACAGAATGAAGCAGTGGCATCTTAAGGCACAGCATTCATTGTCTAGTTTGCAAACCAAAAGGAAACTAACTTATCTCTTCAAGCTTTTCTAATTAAATTGTTGGAAAGATACATAGAAGTTTTTGGTTCTTCACCAGAAAGCAATCAGTTATCCTTGGAACATTTTTGACACAGAATTCTCTAAAGAAGGTACAGATTCCTTCAAGTTTTAGTACAAGAAAGTACAGATGTATGGGTTTATTTAGGTGAGATGCTCATCACACTTGGGGATTCCAATGTTATTAGAATCTTGTACATTTCATTATAAGTTAGTGTTGGTTAACTTTATTCTTGAGACCACAAGTTAATCTACATAAAGGTATGGTAATGAAGAATCTGTCCCCTGACATCCATGGTAATCAAATTGTACTGCATCTTTTGATTCTCATCTTATGCTCCCCACAATATTTTTTTGGAGACTCTTCTTTTGCTACTTTGGAAGCCAGATCACAGTGGCAAGTGTCCTGAGAATGTAGAGTTAGAGTTGAAGTCAGACAAGTACTGCTGAAGCTTGCTTCTTAAGTTAGTAATAGCCTTTTGCTTTCATGTAGACACAAAGCTCTTTTGGTGTGATGCCCCATCTTATATAATTGCCTAATGATCATATAGATGCTGGTACCTAAGCAAGTTAGGTTAGATGTTTAACTTAATATGGATCATAATAGTATACTGGTATTTTTAGTTTGATTTTGACTTATCTACACTTCTTTTTTCTGCAAAGTCCTCAGATTACATACTTCCAAAGTGGTCAAAAAAAAAACATTAGAGAATCTGGGCTTAGCAATTCAAAAGCTTAGGCATTATGTCATCCTAATCCATTCAATTGATAAAGCTTATAAATGTATTGGATACTTTCTTAATAGCCTAAATCCTTAAGATTTATGGTCAATCAATCAAAATCATATTTGTCATCGTATTTGTTAAGTCAAAAATTGATTATTCGAATAGAAGTTGATTCACAGCCAATTGATATCTTTTTTTTTTTGTGTCACTCGATCTCGGTTGATAATACATCAGTCCATCTTCGAAGATGCCACGCATTACAAAATTACATAGGGAATATTTTCGATAATACTCCTCCAATATTTAAGTTAGCCTTCAATCGTATTGAAAATATCTTCAGAGATATACTTGAGGTCTATGACTATTACTTTCGTGATCAATACTAATTATAAGAAATTATTTGTGTGTCTCTCCCATGCTTAATCGCAATTATGCTATGCTAAATCTATAATAAAATAACATCCAACTAATTCTACTTCATGTTGAGATATCGATCATATGTTGGTCACATGGTGTTAAGATATTAATCACATACATTGAGATATCGATCATATAATTAATGTTTTAGGTTGGTCAATTGACGTTGAGGTATTGATTATGTTTATATCCTTGCATTAATATTAAAATAATTTATGAATACTCGTGAGAGGAGATGATAAGACTAGTGAATATATTATATTATTTCATAATTATTTTTTTTATTAGAAAAATCTTCATTGTTTATTGATCAATACAACATGCTATTAATTTGCACACAATCCATTATTATATCTCCTCCTCTAATTAATGTACTACAATGACTTAATTCCCACATTTAACTTTGGACTGAAGATAAAAAGAAAAGGATAATGAGATCAAAGATGCTCATCTTGTTCAGCACCAAAGTGTGCTAAGTTTCTGATGAAGCTTGCCATGCCCAACTGTGCTATGGGGCTAAACAACCCAATGACCATATATAAGTGCAAGCCCACCAAGTCCTATACCTTTAGCAGTCAATTGGTGACCCATCTCACTACACAATCCTCAAATTTCATTTGTATAACTCCATGGATATGTATGTCAGATTATACAAGAGTCAACAAAGTTAGTCAAGATTTGCATGAATTACCATTCAATTTGGCATGCTTGGTTCAACAATTAATACTTGCTCAGCATATGCTGTCTCTTTTAGATCAGTCCTGAGTTCCTACAGAGTTTGAACAATGCTCAGGAAGAATAACTAGAGTTATATTACCATGGGGAAGGACTCCTCACCTTCTTAGTCGATCAACTAGAGTTTAATCTTTAGATGGTATAGTGAGTGATAGGCTGCTCAACCCTCAATTCAACAGTTGGTGTTTGTAGCATGCATGAGGAAGTTTGATTGAATGCAGAGCCTTGTGGTGTGGAATATTTGTGGCAACTAATAATCCCTCCTTGCCTCAACCACTTCACCTCTCTCAACCATAACATGCAGAAGATTGGTAACTTTGCTTATCCTGTTGGGGTTGCAGACTCCACAAGCCATTGTGTTACACATGTAAACATTCGATTCCTTCTCCATTGTAGCTGTCAAGTTGAGTGCTTTGGGCCTTTCCTGCAGTATCCAGCAATCACACTGTGTTGGATATAATCTGCCTGGAGTCAATTCCTTTGTTCTGCATTTAGTTCATCAGCATCTATCCATGCTTTCTCCAACTTGCAGTTAGCAAGCTTGAAAGCTTGCATTTAACCTCAAGGGAAAAGATTGGATATCAATCCACCTTCTGCTAATTTTCTTGGTATACTTCTCTACCAAGGAAAAGAGCATCTGCAGTTACTAGACATAGTTTATGGTGACAGAACATAGCTAAAAATTTGATATAATCTCAAGGGGAAAAGATTATACCTTAATCCACCTTCTTCTATTCCTCGTAGTTGTGTTCCTGACAAGGAAAAGAACATCTTTGGCTGGTAGATACATTGATTCTGAGCCATAGTCACTTGTCATCTACCTAAAAGTATGAGCGTAACCTGAAAGGAAAAGATTAGACCTTAGTCCACATCCATCTATATATATCCTCAACAAAAAAAAGTAAATGAGCTGAGTCCTTCTTGCCACCAATTTGCACGGCCATTAAAAGCCTCAATCTATCAGTCATCACCTAACCAGTCATCTCGAAGTAGTCGGATTATTGTTTCACATAAATAAATAAAAAAGAAAAGTATCGGAAATTTTATCTTTAAAAAACTTCTCAATATTAAGTTTTTGTCAAAGATACTCCTTAATTAGTTTTTCTATTCGACGTCTCTTTTTTATCAATTTGATAAAAATACTCCTTCGTCCTCTTCATTCGTCTTAACTGTTGTTGTCTTTGTTATCACCTATCGATCGAACTTTCTCTTTCGCCTCCCTTTCTCCTTTCCTTTTTTATGTGCTAGCGATGACATTACTAGAGGGAATGTATATTTTCATTAAATTAATAAAAAATATCTTTAAGTAAAAATCGATATTTGATAAATATTAAGAATAATTTTGGATAAAATGCCCAAAAAGTATGCTATGAGATTTCTGCTCCATTTCTTTGTCTTCAAGTTTGTTTGAGATTGAGATTGTCGCAAGTCATGCATTCGTTCCGTTTGAGTGGGCGAGAATAACTTCTTAGATAAACTTCTTCTTGAGGTTGAGATGTCTATATTAATTTCTCCTGTTAACAGCTTCAGCCACTTGGCAGAAAACAAGAGAGATCTTTCTATGTCAATCCATGCCAGCGTCAACATCAAAAACCATGAAAAGAATGGAACTGCTGCAGGTCCACAACTTGAATTCTTCACCTAATTGCCATAGAAACCAGCAAAACCTAACACACAAATAGCGTATGAGTGTAAAACTTACCCATCTCTCATCTACTACTCTTCCTCCTTACTTTATAATATACAAAAAGTCCTAAATGACATGAGAGTTTAATGTATTCTAAGTCTAAGTATTATTGCAGAATATCACTAGTTTTATGATCTAAAAACACTTAAAATCTATCTGGGAAGCTTCGAAAGTTTACTTCGAAGTTGCGTGCAATGAGCTTCTCACTGCACATAATTGGACAGCTGAGTCTGTCTTGCCCTCATCAGTTACCTCGTTACAAGATTACTTATCTTAATGCTTATGTGCTGGACTTAGTCCTCGATCATCTATAAATTGAGATGCCATTCACCTCCTTGTAGCTCATACTCGTCTGCTTCTACCCCAAACGTAGCTCCAATGGTTCCCTTCCTTCCTCTCATCCTCCTCCTCCTCTCGCCGGAAATTGTGTCGCTGGGACTGTCTAATCCGACTTGTGCCCCGATGCCTCCGGTCATCGCGATTCCCATATTTCGCTTAGATGTCGATCTCCTGCAGTTTGCCTTGAACTTGGAACACATAGAGGCTGACTTCTTCCTCTTCGCCGCTCTCGGGAGGGGGCTCGATTCCATCGCACCGGAGCTGGCCATGGGCGGTCCGCCTCCTATCGGTGCCAGGAAAGCAAACCTTGACGAGACCACAAGGCTCTTCATCGAGGAGTTTGGTTACCAAGAAGTTGGCCATTTGAGGTCTCTCTCTTTCTTTCTCCGTAAACTTGCACCCCAAGTAAAACACTTCTGCATCCATGCATACATATTCTTGCGTCACCGTTCAACACTTCAAACCTTCTCACTACCAAACAGGACTGCAACTTCATTCGACTAGCCAGAAGTTAAGAGTTTCACTTTACTAGATGACTAATCCTTAAGATCTTTCTTTGTAACACCTTTGTTCATTCATTTCAACATGAATGTATCATCACTATACCATGTACTGACTGCTTGACGTATGTTGTGAATGAGAAAGGGCTATCAAGACTACTGTAGGTGGGTTCCCGAGGCCTCTGCTGGACTTGAGTTCACACAACTTTGCAAAGATCATGAATGATGCATTTGGGTACCATCTCGACCCTCCATTTGATCCCTACATCGACACCATCAACTTCCTCCTGGCTTCGTACGTGATACCATACATGGGCCTTGTGGGTTACGTAGGGGCAAACCCTAACATCAACGGCTACGTCTCAAAAAGAGTAATGACAAATTGCGGGCCAATTCCTACATATCATCTAATATTATCTATCTCGTAGCAGTATGAGACTAATCAGTTCCTCACACAGCTTCTGGCGGGATTATTAGCCGTGGAAGCCGGCCAAGATGCAATCATCAGAGATCGGCTGTACCAGCACATGCACGAATTCGTGCCGCCGTATCGAATCACGGTCGCCGAGTTCACCGACCGGATCTCCGCCCTGAGGAACCGGCTGGCGATGTGCGGCATCAAGGACGAAGGCCTCCTCGTCCCGCCGGTGCTTGGCGCCGAGGGAAGGATCGCCACCAACGTAATCTCCGCCAACCGCAACTCCCTCGCCTACCGGCGAACGCCCGCCGAGGTGCTCAGGGTGGTGTATGGAACCGGTAACGAGCATCAGCCCGGCGGTTTCCTCCCCAAAGGAGGCAACGGAACGATCGCCAGAGAACTGTTGGCTCCGTAGGGGAATCCTCGTTTCTGCATGCATAGGCAGTCCGAGGGGTTTCGATGTTGCTGTCGTACTTGACATAAGAAGATAAATGTATTGATTGTCCACCATGATGTATGTTGTTATTATGATGTATTGGATATACTCGAATTTGCCTTGTGCTCATGAAATGCTAGCAGGGCTAATTTTGGAAACAAAGCCACACGGAGACTATTCGCTCCCATGGCGCGCTCGCTATTGTAACCACTTCAGTACCCCATCTCTGCAAACGGTCGTGATTTTGCCACGTCGTCACCCGTAAGGTCTAGATAGCTTTCCCATCGAGCCCGACGTCCTCCAAAGGCCCCCCGCCCTCTTTGATTCTGGGAAGTGTGTAGAAGCACATGGAGGAGTCCTAAAAAGCGGGGCGGGAGCGATAAGAAAAGGTGGAAATCGCAGAGGCCGTGGAGCAAAAGATTTCTTGCTTTGTCCTGCACATCGAGATCGTTCGAGCCCTGCGACGATGGCAGACTACCATGCCCAAACTGAAGAGATCGTAAGGAGTTTTATCTCATACATTTAGGATTTCCTTTTCTTTTCGTCTTTTGGATTTGATCTGGTTTCGGTTCGGATTGACGAGGGATTTCTTGTTGCTCGGGTTGTGTGGATGGTTGTAGAGCCGGGAGGGAGAGGGGCTGAAGTACTTGAACTTCGTGCACCTGGCGGCGATGCAGGCGGTTGTGTGCCTGGCGATGCTGTACCAGTTCGCGAAGATGAGCTCGGGGCCGCTGAAGCCGGGGGTGTACCTCGCGGAGGGAACCGTGAAGGTCGTGATCGGCCCCGTGTGTGAGAGGTTCCGTGATGTGCCTTTCGAGTTCCTCAAGTTCCTCGATCGCAAGGTATGAATCTCTCTCTCTCTCTCTCTCTCTCTCTCTCTCGTTTGCTATGCCATGGTTTTTTGTGTGTGTACAGTGTCCTTGGCCTTTGATTCCGTTATAGTGATATCGGGGGGACGACCTATCTACTCCCTTCACCGGAACGTTATGTTCGCATCTAATCAACCTTAATAACTTCTTACGGCCGCCGTCTACTACTACCAGCCGTGCACACCGTCTGTCTCCGTCAACTTACGGCGTCATTCCAGCGTTATAGATTTTTTTTCGCATATTTTTAAATGAAAAATACCTAATTTAGATGTGAGTAATAACTTTACCAGTCACGTGTCAGACGGGCGAGTCGCTCACCGCGGTGGCACGTAACGTGGCGGCACTCCTGAAGTCGGCGTCGGCCCAGGCGTACAAAGCGATCCAGAAGGCGCCGGGCGTGGCGCGCTCCGTCGCTGGCGGGGTCCGGCGGGCCGGAGCGGTGGCAATGGCGTCGGGGGTGGCGAAGGAAGTGTACGTGCGCTGCGAGCTGGTGGCGGAGCGGTACGCTGTCGCGGCCTGGCGGTCGCTGAACCGCCTGCCGCTGTTCCCGCGGGTGGCGCTGGTCCTCGTTCACATGGCGGCTTATTGGGCTGCGAAGTACAACAGCGAGGTGGGGACCGCGGCGGGAAGGGGCTACGCGGTGGCACAGTACCTACCGACGGTGCCTATCGAGAGGATCACGAATGTCTTCCTGGAGGATTCGGAGAAGGCAAGGCGTGAACGCACCGCCAAAGCTGTAGCGGCGGCGGAGTGACCGGTGGTACTGTTGATGGAAAGCGTGCGGCCTTCTAATAGTTTATCTACTATGAAAGAATACGTATTTGGTGTGCTGTGCTCCGAATACGAATAAGTATCGATGCTATCGAAACCAACGGATGGTGTAGGATAGGATAGAATTTGTCCGAATCAGAGGTTGCTTGTTGTAGAAAATGTTGTCAATCACATGGCTAAATGACGAATTGAGTATGAAAATATCGTTCTACTTGGAAATATTCCACGTGATTCCTCGTATGTTATCAACGATAAGAAGGAAGATTGCATTTGTTGATTTCAATAACAGGAATGAAATTAATGAGTATATTTGTGGAAATCCTTGACTTCAATTTATGCATAATAATCGAGTCCTGCTATTTAGTTAACAGGTTGACTATTTGGTCTCGGAATGGTTGGTTTGAACTATTGGTATCAGGAAATATGGTTCTCGAGAATATTAACATGGTTGTTTGGAATGGTTGCTGTCATTGACGAGCACTTGGCACCCACCTATCAAAATAATGTCTTCATGAGAAATAAGTAGCATCTCACGTGCCAATAGCAAGGCAATTGTGTCGTCCATGAAGGGATCAAGTTAAATTTATATTAAGGGTTAAGATTGATTTTAATACTGACTCATAATCAATTATTAATATAATAATATATATAATTTAAGTTTTTTTTAAAAAAATTATTTTAGCCCTTATGGTTTTCGTCAAATACCACTTAAGTTCTTATGGTTTTGTTTAAGCCTAAGATAACCTATATTTAAAAAAACATATCATATAAGCATCTCTCGTCGATAGACGTTAAAGTTTATTTACGTGACATGTTGACTTATAATAAATCAATTAATATAATGATATATGTAATTTAAGTTAAAAATATATATCTTATCGACGAAGAAAAAGCGACGGAGATCTTAGCGGCGAACGAAAACGGAGAGACAAAGGTAGGAGAGGTCGGAGGCGAAGGTGAGAGAAAATTAGACCACCACATTTTAGGCGCGACAGGTGGGAGTGCAAGGGGGAATGAAGTAAGAGACGGTATAGCCGAAGACGTCCAAGAGGAGGAAGAGGGACCAAGAGATCATTGTCGGCTTAGCATCGGACTAGTCAATACACATCCACTTGAGGTAAGACCGGAAGCTCCTAATCTTATCGTTAGCACAAGAGAAGTTGTATGCCTACGACACCGTATTAAGTAGCAACAGTTCGGTGTTGTTGCTAGTGGTGGTTCCACAACGAGACCACCATCAATAGTGGGAGGAGATAGTCTTAATTTTTTTAATTTTAATTACACATGTTATATTAATAGTTTATTATGAATCAACATGTCACGTAAACAGACTCGAACGTTTGTTAATTTAGACTTGATAGGAGGAGCTTATATATTATGTTTTTGAAAATATATGAGTTATTTTAGACACAAGGACTTAAGTCTAAAATGAATATTTTTTAAACATAAATTATACGTGTTATTATATTAATAATATAATATGAGTCAACATGTCACGAAAGCATATTCTAATATCTATTAACTCAGACTTGATGAGAATGACTTATATGTTATGTTTTTAAAGATGTAAAGATTATTTTAAATATGAGTAAACTATAAGAGTTTAAGTGGTTCATAATCAAAATCACATGGGTTAAAATAGACCTTAACCCTTTATTAATAATTCTTATTTTTAATATATATCATAATTTAATTTATATAAAAATAGTTATATTAGAAACATGTCGATTAAAGAGGTTCATAAAAAAAAAATTTCTTGAAAACCAGTATTTTTTTTTCTAATTCTTGAAGGATACCGAGTCACAATAAAAAATAAGAAATGTCGTACATAGGGATTACAATCAGCGCAATTCTTTTTTCCTTTGACATTGTAAGTTATCTGAGCTTCTTAAATCAAGTTTTGATATCCATTAGCTGCGTATGATTATTTTGATAATTAATTAGATTTATGGGTATTTTTATCTATTGCCATTCTATTATTCCTTTGGGTATTTACATTTGCGTTATTCGATTAAACTAAATTTAATTTTATTTTCCTCCGCCTTTCACATCAATCAATATTTATATGGGATCTGTTCCCCAAATGTTAGGTAGTATTATTTGGTTAACTAACCGTCGTGTCCCCTCCAATGGCGGACGGAGGAGACGAGCCCGACGAAGCCGAGGAGCTCGGCGGCAGGCAGAAGGCGGAGATCGCCAAATGGTTCCTCGCCAATGCCCCCGCCGGGGAGATCCAATACGTCGCCAAAGGTGCTACCACTCTATCTTCCTTCTCTTATATTTTCCCCCATCTGTTCTCCGTTGTGAGAAGGTTTTGATCTCGTTTGTGCTTTGCAGACATGCGATCGATCCTTGGGGATGACGCAATCTACGAGATGGCTGCAGCAGAGGCCTACCCCGTCTACAACAAGGCGCATTTGATTGCTCTCCAGATGCCTGATCGGAGTGGTGATGTGAGTCCCCTATGTTAATTCGCATCGATTTCTTGAAACCGCGATCGTACGTTGGTCTCTATATGAGTTGAACATGTCGATCAGTTTTCTTCTGTTCTTTTTTATGATGTGGCTAGTTTGAAGATATACTATTGATAGAATGGTTCTTAATCTGGGCTGTCTCTAAATCCTTTGGGTTGAAGAAAACTAGCCAAAGAGATAAAAGGTAGCTGGTCCACATGATGGCTCCATTGCATGCTTGTAATTTGGGCGCAATTTTTCTTGCTTTCTGCAGCTTTAGATGAGTTAGATCAACGGACATGGTTGTAGTGGTGTTACGTCTTGCTGTGATGGTGTGACCACCGGTAGCTACTTTTTTTAGTGGAGACGGTACACACATGGTCGGTGATGGTGTGACCATTGGACATCTGCTTCCTTGTATGAATTTAACTATGCCACTATGTCTGGGTATATCCTCGGTATAACCACCAAGCTGACTTTCACTGAGTGGTAGTGACTAAAGCAAATGAAATGAGGAAGTGTTGGAGAATTGAAAATATTAAGTTAATTTTGTCATTTTGTATGCTGAAAAATCTCCTTGTCCATACATTTATAATATGTAGGCATGACTAAATCAATGACATTGTGTTATATGTAAATCAAGTGTCCTACTGCACAATGTTGACTATGAACTGAATACTCAAACTACTATTTAGTCGACTTTTAATTTCACATGGATACATATGTTTGATATTGAGGTTAATTCTACATAATATAAAAATTGTGATTAAAAAGCAAAAGACATGGTAAAAGTTCTTGCCACACTTGGTTATCGAAACTATACACTCGAAATATGTACTAGTCCAGCTATGCTTTGTGTGTTAGAAAATTGAATTATTAGAACATATACAAATTTTGTCACCATGATTAGGATGTTGAGGTGAATGCTTGGGGATGCTAGGATAGATATAGAAGGAAAGGGAAATGTGACTGCAGCCAACTTATCAGTTGGGACCTTACAGATTGTTGTTGTTATTGTTGCATCTACTAATATAATATGTTGGACTGATACTACTACCTCAGCTGATACTAATGTCCCCCAAAATAAATCTTTTGTTCTAGGGGTCATTATATTATAGTTTTCTAATGCTAATTCTCCAGAAGAAAGGATTTCAGCTCTTTAGACAATAGAAGCTTTAGCAGTTTCCTTTTTAGAACTTATCCACACATTGTACCTTTTCCTTTTCTCTGTTGGGGGTGCATAGAGGATAAACTGTATGCTAGCCTAGATACCATAAGCACAGCTGTCAATGAGGTCATATAGTAAAAAGTTATCTTAGTTTCACATATGATTGCCCGCCCATGTATAAAAGCATAGTACGATATATTGCTGGTTTTAGTATTGTTAATGTGGAGGCACTACGATATCAATTATAGAATCTTTAAAAAATAAACATTATTGTACTTCCAATATGTCTATAATCTATTAACAATAAATTGCAGTATGTCTGACTGAAAAAGTAGAGAAAGAAATTGCTGTTTTGGAAAAAGAAAAGTGATATCTTCATATGCTTGAGTGTTTGATTGTTGAAAATTGTATTTATGACTATTAATTCTGTTGTTCACATTTAGGTACTTATTACGGCATATGGAGAACTTGACAAAAACAATTATTTTGATCCCAGGACTGCTCAAGTTGCTACAGTGGATCATGTCAAACAAGTAATCTCATATATTTTCTATCTGTTCCTGCTCACTTCGAGTGTTAATGATAGATTTACTTTTTTTGTTTTAGCTTAAAGTGGCTTTACAGGTTTTGTGAAACATTAGGATATGTGATTTGCCATCTGATATGTTCATGTGTATGATCTAGACAAGTTTTTATTGTCCTGAGTCGGTGAGAAGTTCTGATTATCTGTTGGAGTCATTGATTCTCACTTTCTGCACATGGTTTGTTATGTCAAAAATCAGACATCCAACTTTAAAATATACTAGCAGATTGTTAAATATGTCCATAGAGAGATAAGAGCATGGACAAAATGATGTGAAGAGACTACAAAAGGTTGAGCAAACTTCACTTCAAAAGATATCCAGAGGTTATAATCATGAGTCATGATCACACGGAGAAACTTTGTTCATTCACATCACAGTGTTGAGGAGGATAAGCATACAAACCAAACATAAACCTTCTCTTGTATAGAAGAATAGCTATCGTGATATAATTAGCTCAGAATGTTATTGTGAACTGAGTAAAGATTGATGTATTAACTATTAGGAATTGGTGGCAACAAAAACAAGCAATGTTGCATAAGCAAGTTTGATGTTCATACAAGTTTACATAAACTTGTAATCTTTAAGGTTGATGAACAGAAGAGGGTCCTGTTATTTAATCCTTTTTTCCTTGTGGTTACTCTTTTCCTCTCTCTTTGGTAGTTTTTTTCTTGGGATTCAACATGTATATTTATTTATGACTGACATCTGATGAGCTTAGGAAGGCATTAAATTCAACTATTAAAATGCCAGTCTTATGCTATAGTAAGTTTGTCTTTATCAAACTAAAAGTTAAAATTGGTAAAGCATCTAGGATGATAACTAAATTTCATGATCTCATTCTTGGTGATAGTATGCAACTGTTTTTCTCCTCTCTTTGAAGTAATATCCTTAGTCTGCATGGAGCTGAGTACTCTTAGTTTTTTTTGTGAATTCCAATTTGTCATTCATTGTTTCTCCCTGAATATTTGACATAGTTGTCATGTGGCCTAGTGTTGTTAAAATCCACCACCTAGGCTGCCAGTGTTATTTATAGTGTCTTCTGTAAAAATTTTTGTTCTGTTTACTGGTTTGGATATTCATTCTTGAATTGTCAGTAAAATCAGTAAATTGAATATTATTCATCTGATGCATCAAATTTTTTTTTTTTTCATATTGACCTCTTGCAACAAGCTTCGATAATGTAATTTTGTTTTGTAACTGGCCTTGTCTTGATAACAGTACTAAACAAGTTCTATCACAATCATTATTGTTGTAGACTATCTTAGAATTTTAATCTTTGAACTGATTACATTGTTGTGAATTTCTTTAGGTATGTACAAATGTAAGACCTGCTAGTGATGAGGAGCTCCCATCTCCATATATTGAGGAGTTCCGGTATGTTGTGGACTTTTGAGGAATGAGCTTCACTTTTCAGTGTAAAACTGTCCAAATCATTGTTTGCTCCAATAGCACCATGATGGTCATCCTTATTTGCTTTTTTTTGCTAATTTTTGTCCATTTGACAAATAAAAGTTGAGGTTGTGGAATAAGGTCATAAGCATACTGTTATTATATAATTTTTTGTAAGTTTCTTTATCCACATGTTTCATGTATGCTGTGTGAATAATTTGTTTATTGTTTCTCAAAATAACATGTGTCAAGATAAATCTGTGCCTCTGAGCCTCAGTAATTTGCATTTGCATTTAATTATTGGGAGGAAGTCATCATGTATGTCTATCCTGGCTTTTCATCTGAGCTTCATCCCATGTTCTCTATCCTACCAGAGGCAGTGATCCAAATTAATCAACTAGTTCATAACATCCTCCATTTATACTTCAGCTCCAAGCATGTAATGTAGGTCAGAAACTCATTTGGCTCTCCAACTGTCAATGAATGCGTTTTTCACACTCTTTTATTAATATTTAGGTCAAATACTTGGACACTCATCATAAGTGTAGGTTTTTGCTTTCTAGTGGATAATCATTTTTGGTAACATGTTCAATGTTGCTATTCTGCAGAATTTATGTAAGTCAACAATAAAACAAATACCTGCTAAAAAGCCTAAGATTTCCATCCATTTCGTGAATTACCTAAAACCTACATACTTTTAGTTCAAGTGTATCATTTTTATATAATATCTTGGTATCCATGCAGGAGTACCCTGGCTGATGAACTCAGCAAATATGTTGGAGAAACTTATCCAAAGGGAACCTGTGCAGTTTACTGCATTAGTGGTAAAGATGCAGAAGGACCAGGAGCTGATTTTGAGTTTGTAATCGTGATTTCTGCTACTAAGTATAGCCCACAAAATTTCTGGTTTGTGAATCTTCAGTAGTTCAATTAGTTGGATTCTGAAGTTCGTCATCTTTTTGGTTATCTTCTGGCATAATTTTTCCAGTTGTTCACTATTGTTCTTTATGTTACATGATGTTCTTTTATTTGGTGACTCCTGTGAGGAACGTGCAGTAGATAATCATGTTAAACATGGTTTAGTTCTATCAAGAAAATGAAGATATTCCTTATCAGTCCCTTGACCAAAAAATTCTTAGATTTCTGCAGACCATGAAGCCATAAGTGGTGGTAAATATGTTGTCTTACATGCTTGTTCCACTACATAATGCAGATCCAATCTTCTGATGATTGCATTTTGGTTTGCTCTCTAGGGTGTTTGACTCAGTTGAAAGACATTTGTTGCTGAACAACTTACATATAAAACAATCCTAGTTATGCTAGTTTTTCTGTGTTTTATATTCACATGTCACCAAAGATTCTGTTCATATGGCTCATAACACAAAGCATCCTGTGTGTATCTGCTATCACTGAGCCAAGTGGAAGTTGGAAAGAAGCTTAACAGAGTTCTGTATACATTAAAGACAACAACTGCATCTGTTTTCATTTTTCATAATTTTATAACGAAGTTTCAAAAAGGAGGTCCATCAAACAAATATCTTATCAAGAAGGAAGATCTTCCATTAAAACAAATTTAAAAATTGTTCATTTTCTAAAGAATGAAAGTAATAAGGACCGATATTTATTGATGTAATTTTCTTGATTGTATTTTTTTTCTTATTTTTCTGTACCTAGAGGAATGTTAAAAAGGGGAAGAGATTGTAACATAGGATATCATTGAATGAACGAGTGAACGAATATAGTTTCTCTTCCTCATAATGTGTTAGTGGTGTGACACCAGATTCTTTGATACTTCAACCCATAATTTCTATCATGTTGCACTTTCAGCAATGGAAGATGGCAGTCAACTTGGAATGTGGATTTCAAGGATGATCTGCAGTTTGTGGAAATAAAAGGAAAGATACTAGTAGGTCATTCATCCCAACCACCACACTGAGTTGAGGTTTTAATAATTGTTGATGATTGCTACTATTGTTTCAATTTGCAGTATGTTTGACACTCAATGTCCCTGTCAGGTAGGATCCCATTACTTTGAAGAAGGAAATGTCCACTTGGATGCTAAAAATGAATTCAAGGACTCCACCATCTTCCAGGTGATATGAATAAACAATTAACTGTGGTGATTAAGAATGAACAGTTTATCTGAAAAAATTAGTTGCTTAACTTTCGTGGCCTATACTTAATGCACTAAGAATGACAAACTTTTGGTTGGCTGGTTTTACAGATCCATATTTTCTGGTGTTTCTTCCACTTAGCATGCTTTTACATATCAAACTTCCCAAAATGTTCTTTTTTCTGTTTGTTATTTCCTTTCTCCTGATCTTTTGGTCTATATCTACTTAATGCCCTAGCATGCAACTAGTAATTATATGTCAGCATAATCATAAACATTGAAAGAATGACAAACCTTTGCTTGGCTGATTTTATAGATCTAAATTTTCTGGCAGTTCTTCCACTTAACATACTTATATGATTGAACAACCGGGATCAATTTACTTATGATACATATTTGACATTCATAAAAAGTATATAATGAATTATGAGTTCAATGGATCCTGTTTAGCAGAAAGACGGATATTCCTTGCTTATTATTAGACAATCACCTATTCACAAACCTTGTGTGAGGCTAATAGTTTTTATTTTTCATGATGCAGCTCTTTCCCTCTGTCTTTTTAGCTCAGATGCATTTTTCAGATAGGGTACTAACCAAGCACCATTATCCCACTGGTCCTTAGCTTTATGGAACCACAATTACATCAAATCATTGTAGAAACATAAGGCTGATGGCTATGAAGCTCAGCAAGGTCTCAACTATTGGTCTGATCAAGATCAGTATTTAATTTTTTTATTATTTTTTCAATGATATCCGGTGGTACAGTTTGCTTAACACTCCATATACCAATACTGTGCCAGTCTGATCGGTTGCTGAAATTGGTATTGGACCAAAAATTCCTTGCTGCTTAGCATCCTCTATGGATGGAGATTGCATAATTAGATCCATGCAATATGCATCTTTGTTTGATGCCATTGTTCACATAATTGATGTGTTGAGTAGTAGCTATTCAAGTATGATTCTCCTTTTTCCTTAAGGCAACACTATCTGTTGCTTAATATTCTCAGTTGAGGTTGCCTTTGCTGGAAGATCATGTTCTCGTATGCTAATGAATTTCATCAGTATTACTCACACCATCACTGTCATTTTCAGTCTCCTGAAGATTGTGCTGCCTCAATAACCAACATTATTTGCCACCATGAAACTGAATTTATGGCATCTCTTGAGGTTTTATCCTATGTCCTATCTCACTGTTTCTTATATTCAGTCAACTGAAAACAGAGCATTAACTTTTGGCATATGCAGGCATCGTATGTGCATTTACCTGACACCACTTTCAAGGTATCATCAGGCATTCAAAACGTGAATCTGTTTGAATTTTTCCGTATGCATATCCTTGCATAAATTCATACTTGATGTCTGTCAGTATATATATGATCATGTTGACATGAGATTAGGCAAATTAGATCACCTTCCAAATTATGATTATCCACAACAATAAAATTGATCTATACCTTATGAAGTTCCCATACAATAAAATCATCAAATTTGAACCTTTTGCATTTTGTTTACTTAAATAATAAAAAAATTGTAACATTATTCCTTTTTGCCCACTTTTTAGATAATATAACATATTTGAAGTCTCATGATTTGAGAACGGGAATATTTTAGAGGGTGAAGATCAAACTTAAATGGTTGTATGTCGATGGAATTCTTCTATTACTGAATCGGTAGCTCTCTCTGTAAATAATATTATGAAAATAAATATATAAATATATTAAGCATACATATTCACACACACATATATATGTGTATAAATTTTTTACTATTAAATTAGAATATTAAAATATTAAAATCAAAGTTCTCATATTTTTGCTGAAGCATATTAGAGGTGCCTCATAAGTTTCTATATTTAATGTGTGGTTTTGGTATATGCTAGTTGGACTGTCCGGGGGTAGTTGCCATAGGATGTGCTGGGAGATAATACGATGATCAAGACTTCCAAGAAACTTTTATATTGTTAGTGCTGTCATGGGATAATCAATTGATCTCCATATAAAATACAATAGCATGCAAGGCTTCGATAATCAATCATGGTGATAAAACATCTTTCCTTTGGTCATTAAGCTGTGAAGATAGTTGTTTGCTATACATGATTTCACATACACAGGGTTAAAAGGGATATAATTACTCATTTCATGTTGATTCATTACTCATCTTATTTAATCCTCATCTTTGGTGCTAACAAAATCCCATTTTCTCCAATTCCGTCATCTGTAGTAATCCTAAATTTTCTCTGTGTTTAAACTTTCTCATCTACCAACATTAATGATCTTTATATATGTATATGTTATCCTCATACAGGATCTGAGAAGGAAACTTCCAGTTACTCGTACGCTTTTCCCATGGCACAGTACTTTGCAGTTCAGCCTTACAAGGGACATAACAAGGGAACTTGAAATTGGACAGTGAAGGTAAAAAGACATTGACGAGATTGGAAATCTTTTGTTTGTATTTTAAACTCCAGAGTTCATTTTATTGCTGACATGAAGTTCTAATTCTTTTTCCAAGTTTTCCAGGAACGATCGTTGTAAAGATAGACTTGCCTCTCTTCACACCTAGAAATACCCATCGTTCACAGATATGTACAACCTTTTGTATTCTACTTGCACTCTCTGATTTATTTGTCTGTTGCACGGAGTTTGAAAAGAAAATAATGTCCTCTGCAATTTGTTGTACGTGGTTCACTGATCTTATTTAGAAGCTCACTGATGACTGATTCAGTAGGGCAAAGACCTGAACCGTGGATGACCTCGTCTCCGAACAAGCACTGCGGGGCAGCAGCTGTACACAGCCTTTAGTAGTATGATGTATGACGTGAGAACCATATGTTACAAAACTCATTTTAACCATGTCAGCATGCTAATCTGGAATCTCTATAGCCTTAAACTCGATTAACTGCTATACTGCAGGCATTTCTTTTTTTACTATACTCATGACATGATCCAAGCAATTGGCATCCTGTGTTGCACCTTGCTTTAAAAGTAGATATCTCTTATGCAATGCTTTCACACACTGTCAAATTGGATTCTGACAGGGTTGCCTCTTTGGGATTGAACTTAGATGTGCTCTTGGTAATGGATATAGCAGAACAGTTGTCCCCATTGCATGAGATAATTCTTTCTGCAAATGCTGTTTTGCTTGGTGGTCACTACAATTTCCTTCATGACCTTTGGTAAGGGTATAATTCACAATCTTTTCACACATCATAGCCCATACGTTCTAGTTCAGGTGCAGCATCACTTATTTTCATTTCTTAGCTAACTAAAATCATGTTGTTTGAATTGCCAGTGACGGAATCTTATCACCAAACATCTTATCACCAAACATGCATTTATTTTTGGAGTTGTATTATCATTAGTGAAGTTCATGTCATATATGTCATCAGTGGTCAGCGCTCTTTTTTTATTAGGTCTTAAAAGGAAACATTTAGCTTTCCAGCTCACTAGCATTAGGATGCACAAGAAGTGATCACCGTGAGAAGACCCACTCAGCTCTACTGCATCTTCAAGAAGAGATCTACACAAGCGTGATGCCTCGCATCCATTTTTTAGGCTTAAAAACATAAATGATGAGATGACTTGACAAAAGAACATTGTTTTTAACAGAATTGTTTTTTTTTTAATAGAATTATATCATCTAGGGAACAAAATACGGTAGGTCTGTAACAATAGTGCAACAACATATTTATTATATCATCCATCTATCATTTAATAGATAGTATAGTGAACAATTTATTTATGACACCAAATGTAAAGAAACTGCCTCAGCCTTGCTTGTGACGTTACCAAAGAAACCCACCGAATCCCAGCAAACAAAAAGAAGGCAGCAGGTAGGTAAGTAAATAAATACACATCTATCTATTTTATCACACACTCATGCAAATAACACGAAATGATAACTCTGATCCCGGAAGAAGAGCCAGGGGTGCTACGGTAATTTTAGCACGGTCCGTCCCCTGCTGCTACTCGTCGGAGTCGTCCTCCCCGCCGAAGATGGAGAAGCGGTAGTAGAGGAGGAAAAGTATCAGCAGCAGCAGGAGCGCCACGCCGACGGGGGAGCCCCCGACGCGGTGGATGGAGTCCGGGGAGCCGGCGGCGAAGATGTCCGAGAGGACGGCGCCGCGGTCGGAAGACAGGAACCGAATCACCAGCACGAGGACGACCGGGAGCAGCAGAAGCCCCGTCGGGCTGAGGACGTCGGAGATGGCCCCCGTTATGGCCTCCCCGCCTCCACCGACGAGGAACGGCGCCGCCACCACCACCCCCACCACCACCGCTAGCAGAACCCCATGGGGCGGAGCTCCCTGCCCTTCCTGATCCAGCATCGGTACTCCTCTGCGCCCCTTCGTCTCTTCACCTCACCTCACTGCACCACTGCTCCTGACTCGCTGCCCCCTCACCGCCTTTGGTTGGTAGAAGAAAGCGATTGCCTGTGTGTCTCAGAGAGAGAGAGGAAGAAAGAGAGTAGCAAAGCGACACATTTATGATGGGAAGTGGGCCGTGGCGCCCAGCTTTGGGAGGTAGATGAGAGATGTGCCCTCTTTTACTCGGAAGAGGGAAAGAGGAAGCTGTGTGGTGATATGGGCATCGGTAGTTGGGAAAGCAGAAAACAAAAAGGGGTTGAAAGTTTCAAACAGGGGGAGGCACATGGTGGCACGTGACGCCACCGACTCGGATCACGTGAGGATAGGAACGGGGATTTACAACCGACGCAGCCGGCACGTGGTAGAATCGCTGGAATGCCGCAGCGTGACGGGGCCAATCGGTTCTCTTTCTTTTCTCCTCGAGTGAGTTGACCATAATAATACAAAGTACGGAGCAAATGATACGATTGCATCGTTGGAAGAGTCTGAGGTTTAGAATATGCAGCTTCCAATTTGCCAATGGCGACACAAGACCAGTATCTGAAATCAAATCCAAGACTCGTAATCATCTACTATCGGACGTTACAGCTGCATGTCCTCGTCTTAACACACCTATACACAGCATCTTGCATTACTTAAAACTACGACTTAGTTGGAATTCAATACATGTATATACGATCGAGAATGACACGGCCCACACCAAGTCATCCATCGATCAGCATGTGCGTGCAGGTCATCCTTGTATCTTCTTCTTCTTGTTGCTGCTTCTGCTTGTAGTAGTACTACTCAAATCGATCCAGTCCAAGCTGCTGGTAGTGGTGGTGGATGTCCTCCGGGTGGTCATCAATCTTTTGCCTCTCGGGCTGCGCCCATCGCCCTTCCTGAGACCTCATCATGCCCTTGTTCTCGTCCTGCCTCCAGTTGGGCGGCACCATGAGATGCTCGTGTAGGAAGTCGCAGGACTTGTTCACCAGCGCCGGGTCTCGCCCGGTGGTCGGTGCAAACTTCCGACCCTTCCCCTGGAATCTGCGAGCCCAAACCAGCAGGTGTTAGACCAAGACACGACTCTTGCATTCAGGAGAATAGCAGGGCGGGGGACCTCTAGCGATGAGGGATCGTACCCGTCCAAGAGATGGAGATGGGCTTCCAAATTATGGTAGTTGGAGGGGTCGAGGGAGTCCTTGAGGAAGGGCGAGTGCTTGTGGTCCAGAAGCAGCTCCACCCCGACGTGAACGTACCCGTCCATCGCCCTCAGCATGAACTCCGGCATGTGCTCGTTGATCAGCACGCCCGGCACCGTGGGCACCTTGTCGTGGACGTTCACCACCCGCAGCACCTTCAGCCCCAGCTTGTCGCACCGCTCCTTGAAGTGCTCGTTGCCCACCCTCGGCCCCCCGTATGAGAACACCGCCATCGGCACCTGCTTCCCGTCGGCCCCCTTGATGAGCTCCATCTCCGCGATGTCGTACGCGTTCAGCGTCGCCAGCGCGCTGCCGAGGCTGTGCCCCGCCACCGTTATGCTCACCTCCTCCCCGGCCTCGGTGTACTGGGCCACCAGCTTCCTCACCTCGGTCAGCACTTGCTCCCTAGCGGAGTACTTGCAGAACCGGCACGTCGAGTCCTTCTCGATGTACAAGTCAACGAAGCCGGTCTCCACCTTGACCCGGGTGTCCGGGCAGGGGATCCCCGCAGATCTCACCGGCTGCATCTTGGCCATGAAGTCGTGGATCCACTCCAGCCGCGTCACCGTCCCCCTCCACGCGATCAGGATGTCGCGGCGCCCCAGCCGGGCGGTGGTCTCGTCGTTGGACACCGAGACGTAGCCGATCCAGTTGGCGCGCTCGCTCCACGTCCGGGAGCCCATGACGGACTTGGCAAAGAACTTGGGCACCTTGACGTTGGAGGTGGCGTAGAGGTACCTGGTAACGTCGTAGCCGGCGCTTTCCATGCCCAGGCTGTAGAAGAACTGGCGGCGGCTGTACTTGCAGCTGCCGCAGTAGCGGGAGAACTTGTCATAGTCGAACGAGTCGTAGCAGGCCTGCACGAACTCGCCGTAGCGGATGAGCTCCGTACGAAGGAGGGGGTCGATCGGGTCCAGCAGGCCAGCCCAGTCGTCGCGGCCGTGGATCACGCGCCACCGGTTGGCTAGACCGTCCTGCGGCTGGCGGGTATCCACTTGCTCTGCTGTCTTCTGGAGCTCGAGGTCGGAGATGATCGCGGACATGGAATCTTCCCTGGCCGCCCTTGGTGGCTGAATTCTCACTCCCCGGTTGAGGGTGCGCAGCACCGGCACCGGAGACGGCTTAACGAGGGAGAGGGACGGGAGAGGTGGACCGGGCTGAGAAGGGGAGCTGTGAAAGACGCCAGGGAACCAGACAGGGAGTGAAGACTGGGAAATCGCCATCGGAGGCGACGGCTTCGAGGGGCTCTGAGGGCGGGCTATAGAAGGGAAGGTGATGGCGTTACAGTGGAAGCGCTGCGTATGATTGTGTTGGGCACTATATGTCGGGCATGGGGATGGATTTATACAGGCAGGAGGTACGGTGAGAAGTAGAAATACGCAAGTAGTACGAGCTACGCTCATGCATCGCGTCGTAAGGCGGGACACACTTCGCGTCGACGTTCCAATACTGGAAGCCAGATTTTTATTACTCGGTCACCGAAAACGGACGAGAAGAGCACAAGTCGGACACAAAATGGATGAGAAGGGATGACGCGGCACCTCTCCACCTGTCACGTCGATCGGACGGAAGCGCGATTGTACCGTATCGCTCGCGACTTGAGTCGTTACATCCAGCAATGGTTACACGTGATACGCGAGAGTCGCTTGGTCTCGATCGACGTTTCTCGGTGGAGCATTTTGCCTTCCTTGTGTCCCAACTTAGTGCTTTTGCCTCAACATCTACGGGTGATTGAAGATGATGTTTCACTTGTCAGTTCAATTATTGCTCTTGGTATCACGAGACATGTTAATCTTATTCATGGAATGGAAACAATCCCTTGGATTTATATAAATGTACTTTTTTTCTTGCCTAATTTTTATTATTATTCATGTCATCGATCATAATCTTATCGGACGATCGATCAACTATAAAATTAGATGAATGATAAAACTATAGGTCACAACAACATGTCATCATTTATCCACATAACATACAATGATAGTGACGAGATAGAAATCTCACTATTGATTTTATTTTTATCATTCATATAAATATATATATATATATATGTATATATATATTAAGAATAGATTAATGCAGGTATTAGAGTGATGCCAACAATGGTGACGATAATAACAGAAACGTTGATAATGACTAGAATAATTAATGGTGATAGCATTATCGAAGAGATGGCAATGTCTATTTTTTAATAAATAAGATTATTTTATTTCTTACCCCAAAAGATCTTTCAAAAAAATATTACTAAAAAACAAACCCTCCAAAGAATATAAAAATATAAAATTATTTTTGTTTGACAAATAAGTAAACCAAATCTCAGATGTACAATTGTAAAATATTTTTTTATATGTAATTGGAGAAAGAAGATTGAGTGAATATATAATTGTGGAATGCTTTTAGTATTTATAAGTAAGTGTTATTTAGTAAAATTATATTTCAAAAGTCTATTAAATATTTTATTATATAGTTACTTTTAATATTTTTAATATTTATTTAAAAATAAATACATGTTTTTTTTATTATATAAATAAAAATAAAAAATGAATGTATATAATCCTATAAAAAATTTCAATGGCCCAAATATATAATAAATAAAAAATATAATCATATAAATAAATATAAAAACAATTCTTAAATATAAATCATATTGATTTCTCGCTAAATCATTTTGACAATCTTATAATTTTAAATAAAACCACAAGACACTTTCAAATTAAAAAATATATATATATTAACATATACTAATGCTGAAATATTTATACTATCTCGAAGTAACGTCAACATTTAAATATTTCTAATGTAGCATCCAGTTTATATTTGACCTACATATTTAAAATATATTATCAAACGCATGATACACATGTGGTACGAATATAAATATTTTATTTGTAACTTTAATGCATAAAATTCATGTCACATCATAATACTTCAATGGTCACCGACGTTGCAAGAGTCGGCAAAATCCTTGAAAGATCGGAGAAAATTGAAGATAAGAAATATGAAGATAATTGTTTGTCTTTTGTCAATTTTGAGCAGAATTTTGAAATAGCAGTCATCATAATCTAATGACTCTGATGTTTGCTGACAACATTGTGTTGATGTTTGTTGCTGACAACATTGTGTACAAACCAGTAGAAATCGTTCAATTATTAGGTTATGATCCAAATTAATAATGTGTGTAGGGTCTTTTTCTAAGGTGTCTCCATTTTTTTTTATTCGAGATCTCATATTTTTTTCATGTTACAAAAAAAATATCATCGATGTCGTAATCAATCCGATAAGGTACGAACTCGTGCGTGTAGTATTGTTCAAGGTACATTGTGTCCAATAATGATTGTTCAATTATTCGGTTAT